ATTAAATTTGGACAGCTAATTGGTCATCATTGACTAGCAATGACTATAAAACAGAATGTCCTCATTTCTCCGACTTTTTTTTCTCTTTTCTTCGTTTATTATTGTAAAGCTATAAATGCTTTCTTCTCCAAGAAATTGATTATCAATTGCTCTGATCGTTATAACGGTAGACATACATCAAATATGGTAATTTAGTTTGTAAACAACGACATTATTTATGGCATAAATATTGATAATTGAACTGCTAAAATACGCATATAATTAAAAACATACAATGTATGGGTTATAGACAAACAATTAATTGCATAGAGAAACTTAGAGAATCAATCATTTTGACGATCGCCATTCGCCGCCTTTAATTTGAGACATCCAATTGGAATATACAGCGCTGGTAACAACTGCTTTCCGTTATTTGTGTCACATCTCGATTATTCAAATCCTCATCACGGATCTACTGTTGCAAAGATTTTTATGTTGAAATTTCGGATGCGTTTAACCAGTTTTGTACGTAATATTGCTTGACACCAACATTGTCCTTTAAAGGATAACAATGTTATGATCCAAACGTGTTTAACATAAACTAAAGAGCAATACGGGTCTCTTCTATATAGGCGGAATGTAAGACCCAACACAATAAATTCTTCCATCCCCGGACTGCATGACCTAGGTGCAAATAAAATAAATGACAATATGTTGGTCTCAAAACCGAAGCATTGTAATGACAAAACATTAAATCTCATCCCATTTCCATTTAAAATTACATGTACTAAAAGTTTACAATGGAATTTACTGTCACTTTCCGAGCAGGTTTACATTTGAAAGTATTGGGGGCATTGAGTTTTGTAGCGACCTCGGGTCAAAATACCAAAGTTTAATTTTCATAGTCATTTCATCAGTACTATATACATCCTAGCAAGTGTCATTGGTTTTAATTCGGTATGAAGCGGGGGTTTGGATGGCCGAATGGTTAGCACGTGCGTGCTGTATCATGAAGCCTGTCATTGAGTCAACTGGCGTGGTTTCGAATCCCCGGTTTTACGTGACAAGGAGTAGGGTCGCCTGTCCAACCTCGTGGGTTTCCTCCGGTTTCTTCCCACTGCTAAATACCCCTACGCACAAGCGAATTATTGAAATAAAATTAAACCATATGTTAGTCCTGAAATGCCCTAGTTTGTGTCGAGTGGACGTTAAACCCCCATCTCTCTCTCTCTCTCTCTCGGTATGAAGCATTAGGGCTGTGTGCGAGTGAGTCCTATTTGAGTTTTATCATTCTATGTCGTTCTGTTCCATAGACATAATACAGATACAGATATATAATCAGATTTCTGGAAGGCAAATTCTCCTTGCCCGACATCAAAGTTTTCCATGCGGATAAGCTGCTGTCTGTGCCATGGCTATCTATTTTTCGTGGCATATTTGGGCGTAGTTGCCGGACTTTCTTTCAAGATACATTTTTTGGGCGGCCAGGATCTGGGTTCTTATTCACGAAAACTTAAACTAAGTTACAACCGAAATTTTAAGAAATACTGCAACTTCGTTGGATATATGCAAATTGATTTTACTGGTCAGCCAATCGAATTGCAGTATTTCTTAAAATTTCGATTGTATCTTAGTGGGCCCTTATTCAAGAAAACTTAAACTAAGATACAATCGAAATTTTAAGAAATACTGCAACTTCATTGGATATATATGCAAATTGATTTTACTGGTCAGCCAATCGAATATTGCAGTATTTCTTAAAATTTCGATTTTATCTTAGTTTAAGTTTTCGTGAATAAGGGCCCTGGTCACTAACCGCTACTCATCTTTTTCTTCTTCTTGGGGCGACGCTCTTCGACAAAAGCCTAAGGTTAAGGCTCCGTCATGTCCGATCGTCATGAAAATTGGCATGTTTCTTTTTTGAACAATTCTGAATCGATTTGGTGAATTAGATTTTTGAATTTCATCCATTAACATGGACCAGGGTCAGTTCGTGGACCATAATACGATCGTACTTGTTTCATTTCTTCGATGATGACAATCGCTATGCTATTTTCACGTCAAATAATTTAATACAGGTGTCCTGTGTACTCAATGGAAAATTGACAGGCTAAAATGAATTTCTGAATCAATCAGTAAGCTCCCCGGCGTTTGTCCTAAGATCATTTTGGGCCTTTTAATAACTTTTTTTTTTACTTTCTGAAGCTAGTTCAAATTTTTATTTTTTCATTATTTTGTAAGACATGTTTATTTGCGCTTGACTTGGGTGGGCTACCTATACTGTTATTCAAGACGTCTTGACGATCGAAACAGAACCGGTGATCAGCTGTCATCATTGTCGGAAGATGGAAAACTACGTTCTTGGGAGTCAAAACTATGATGGCGAAAAATATGTGAAACACCACAAACAACGTCATTTGTTTCTGTACACAGTAGAAGACGTTTCCAGTCATAGTTTATACCCAAACAGTTACAAATGAATGATGTCTATAGCGTCTCAGTCTCGACTAGTATTAAAATCTTTAGAAACTCGATGACGTTTGCGAAACATAAAGCCATAACAAATAATAACTTCTTTATAAAAACAGACAGTGCAGAGGTACGAGTGTACAATACTCAATAATAGCGATCAGACGGCTTACCAGAATAGTTTGTTAGCTGCAAGAACTGCTCAGTTGAGATACAACACCCTCAATTAATAAAAACGCCGATATTTGTAACTGCAGCCTGTACTTACTAATAAGTAATTAGAAGTAAAAACGTGACCCAGTAAAAACATGAATTATGTTAGAAATGATTCCGCTACTGATGTCTTTCATCTTGCTCCAGCCACAGTAGTGGTCGATCCTAAGACCTTCCTTTGAGCAAGTTTTGTAGTCATTTGACTACAAAACAGTTACTGGCCTATAACTCCCTTCATTTCCAATTACACTGACCCCAAACTGTACTGTACATAGCTTAACATATACTAAACAGCAAAAAAACGTCAATACGATTTCAAAATCAGAGAGGCACTTTAATTCAATCATTCTAGAAAACAACTTACTAAATGGATCAAATCAATTTTTTGTAAACAGTATGATTAGTGATTAATTCATCACAATTCCAAGACATTACCGGAAGGCTTAGAGTCTGTACAAAGTCTATACATCAGTGTAGAGCAGCAGTGCAGTGTCTGTACATAGAGTGGACCAGACGATTGTTGAACGCCATTGGCGCCTGGAACCACACTCTCAGAAAAGCCTGGCGCAATCCATCGGCTGTGTTTGGCCTCTGAATTTCATCCCAAAGATGTTCAATCGGGTTTAAGTCCGGACTAAGGGCTGGCCAGTGTATAACGTTGACACAGTTCTGCTGTAGAAAGTCCTGAGTAACTCGGCCGGTGTGGGCATGGACGTTGTCATACTGGAAAACATTGTTTCGATGACGTGCGAAATGTGGTATGACGTGGAGTCTGAGAGCTTGATCGCTATAGCGCACTGCTGTGATGCCACCTCCTCTCCCTGGACCAAGAAGAGTACGTGCAGCATGAGTTACATGAAAATCATGGAGAACACATTACCGTCTCAGAAGTCAGGTTGCATTTTTGAGAACATTTCCTGGGTTCAATTCTGTATTGGGGAAGGAGCCTTATTGCTCAGGTAAAGTTGGAGATGTGGTCACAAATATACAATAAAAACATTTATCAAGTTTTATGCAATGCGTCTATTCAGAGTAACATACTTTCCTGACGTTTCTTTTGCTGCTTAGTATATAATAAACACATTCCCACTGAAATAAAGGTGAAACCTTACCACATAATTAAATGATTTGATTAAACCCAACTGCTATGCGAAATTTCTGTTCATTTTAAAATGGGCTCTGAATCAGAATCACGTGATTTCATGTCACTTGAAAATACGAAAAAACTGTTCGGTAAGATAAGATTAAGATTTCAGTGTTCCACTCTTCACTATTTGTAACATAATTAGTCATTTCCATGCAAACTGTGATGATATGTATTGAAAATTTTGCAGTTAATTTTACTTGCTCAAAGCCTCGAATAGTGTATCAATTGTAGCCGTGATCACAGCTACAAATATTGCAGCTAGAATTATGTGTGTTTATTTTGAAAAGCTGTGATTGTTCTGCAATCAGTGGATTTTATATGAAAGAGAAAGTTTGCGGTTAACATTTACTGATGCTGTATTTTTGGTGCAATATTAAATGATAAAATCGACAATTAAAGTTATGAGTGCCAATATGTAAGATGAAAGAAACATTCTAGAACCTATATCTTCTACACCGGCCCATTGTTCTTAAGAAAACTCTTCATTTGTCTGGTAAATTCCTAACTCAAAATCAAAACTATATAAAACATTCATCCATTCAACATCAGGTAATTAAGTGTGTCTACATATAGTACTATTTTAAAATCTCATTCAAGGATTAGACTATTATTTAAATATTGTAAATATGTATTAATATTATTGATATTTACAATATTTAAATAATAGTCTAATCCTTGAATGAGATTTTAAAATTTATTCCATCACCCCGAAAAATTAGCTGAAGATGGTAGCTGGTCATTTCAAGTTTGTGCTACTTACTGATCATACATCTGTTACCAGATGTTTTTAATCTTTGAATGAAAATGAATCATTATTATTATTAAATGTTAATAATTGTTACAACATATTTATAGTGTCTTCTTCTTTCACAAAAATGTTCAGGAGGACATTATAAATTTGCAATAGACTATGAATGAACTATCAGGAAATGACTAGCATTGTTTTGATACTATATACAGAAATGCACAATAACTGCACTATAGACAAACAACACTGATAAGACAAACCTGCATTCAAGACAAACTACAGACAATGCAAGAAATAAACAACAAATAGTAAATTAAGTGAATGGATATGGGGGTCAGCTGTAAGGAGTAGGGTAGTTGACGGTTTCCAAATGATGTGTTCAATATATGTATATCCAAGATGTGGAACGTTATTATAATGACCTGAATATTGTTATTTTTTCAGTTCGATGTGGACCTGAAGAAGGTGAACAATTTGTAACAGATTACAGTAATAATGGGGTTTCTACACATTTACGACAAGGTGAGGAATTTCTTTCTTGAACACACACAAATAAATAAAAGGTCTATTGTTTTGTCAACCTAGTTGTCTTGTTTAGAATATGGTGATCTATTAATTTTAAATGGCAAGTTTTAAATACTGATTTGATATTAAGAAACTATTGTACATAAACTTGACAGCCTGCAGGCTGTAAAGGCAGACACATTTCCAAACTGGTCCGCAGTTGATCTTACAGACTTACACAATTGCTAAGATCACTGGAACTATGATAGTAGAGAAGCTTCTGCAATTAGGATACTTTATGCATATCAGTATTCATTGTTGAACTATCTTTTTGATGATAGCTTGTCTCTAATGGCTGCATTCACATAACAATCTCCACCTAATTGCATTGAAACTGGTTCCAAGTGAGCTCCTCGCATGCATACATTATTAAGACATGGTGCACTAAAATCTGAAATTCTTACATGCTGCAATGTTAAAAGTTATGTATATAACAATGACAACATGGAGGAGTTGAAAACATTTTTTAACTCAAAGATTTGTGTCTCAGATGCAAAAAATAAATCCCTGATGGAATTGTTCTGGGTAATTTTCATCAGTTTAATTCCATTGACCTAGGTTTAAAACTTTAGAAAAATGCCAGCAGTTTGCATAAAAACAAATAAGCTGACAGATATGTGTTGAACATATATACTCTTCAAAAAAAGTAGGGGATATTCAGAAACAATACAAAAATGCGGAAATGCACTGCTGTTTTTATAAGAGGTAACCAGTGTATGTTAATAACAGGCCAATTGCATACACATGAACATAAATAGTTCATATGGGCGACTCCCAAAGAGATAAACTGTCAAAAGTGAAAATGGACGTTTTTGATTTTTGTCTTAATAAAGAGTAATTGCTCCACCAATCCTCAGACATTCAGCAATTCGTCGTGGCATGCTCCGAATCAATCCGACCCACTCCTCTTGCAGTGCCACGGCCAATTCTTGCAGTGTTTTTGGTTGACATTGACGTCGACGAACGCGTCTCCCGATCAAATTAAATGTAACACACTAAAGCAAAGATATGCTAAACAGTAAATCTTATCCAAGAACCAATAGGAAAGCAAATATGGATAGGATAAACCAGCACACGGTAGTTTTCATCAACCCTTCCTGGAAGTGTCAAATTTGACAATGAACCCCTCCCACGTGTATGGCGCTATTGCGTGTCGCATGTGCAGCTCAGTAGTTCTCTTGGGGCAATAATTTCTTCATCTGTGAACATACTCGCAAAGCATGTCAAATGTCCATGACTATTTATCATATCACAACCTGCATAGGTATTTGCATTTCGATATCCCCTACTTTTTTTGAAGAGTATAATTGCAGTCTCCTTTCAATAGTGGCAATTGGAAATTCAAAGTCACTATAAAAGATGCATTAATAGGTTGCATTCTTTCCTTTGAGACTGATTCAAACTATAATATCTTTGTTCCAGTTTCTTTGGTGTTGAAATTTGAGGTACAAGGGCAGCTCAAGCCAGGGAGTGACATAGGCCTGGTGGCATTGCCCTTAGTTATCACCCGATTGACATTATATTTATACACAATGTTAATGTTCATGAGCTGAAGACGCCCATTGATTTTAAATGATTTTCGATTAGTCAGGTCGGAGCTCTAACCTTGATCAATTTGAAAAATCTTGTGGATGCTCATCAAGATGCTAAGGTTTAGCTATTGATCAATTTCAAAATTCTTGTGGACATGCTAGTTTGTGATTATTTTTTTTTTAATGCCCCAATTTCCTACAAAAGAATGAATATATAACTACATTTGTGAACTGCTCTGACGGTGTAGTGTGTGTGTATGTTTCTTGCCTGGCAACCTATCTTTTAAATCTATCACAACCTTTGTGTCTGCTATTTTTTAATTCTTGTAAAACACTATAGGTTCAAGTTTGAGAGATTTTGTTTTTAAAACAATCTGATACATTACAGTTAGTGAGATCCATTATCACTGAAACCTTGTAAATCAAGGTTCTCTTCACAAAAATGCTGGTGGACATATAAATAATTTGTTGTTTATATCTATCAGACAACTAAACAATTTTATTTTCCATATTGCACAACAACCCAAAATGATTTATAATAATGCTACTATTTCATTTGACTATATCTATTGTGAAATTAATAACTTTTTGTTTCAGACATAATGACATGAAACAGTTTTTGGTGTTATACAGGCTAATTAGGGAGAAAATAATTACGTTATTCATGCAAAATGGCTTGCCTTAACATTTCATTTTTTCTGTGGGGAATTCCTTCTCAGCTTGCCCTATAGGCATTTTACGGCATATAGAAGAAGCGAAACTTGAGTTACGATAGAGATATACTCCAAGGAGCAATCAGCTGTCCTTTTACAAGCTGATTCAACCAATCACTGTCAATGTTTCATGGCTCGGTTGTCGTGAAAGTTTTTGGGACATCATTTAATTGTCTTGTGATAGCTGGGACGTCTGTTTGCCAACCAATAATGAGGTATCATGGGTAATGAATGCGTTACAGCAGGTGAACTTTGAAATATAACGAGAGTAGCTAGTGGCTAATTACTGTGGTCATGTGACCTTATGGTCAAGAGCTCGAAGCGACGGCACCAAACTTTATTTTGTAACACTCTTGATGGCTCTTAATGGTACAAATAATTATTTTCACAAAGTCATCCAATTGGAAAAAATCTTTAAAGAATCTGCTGACACCATATTTGATATGGCTGCTTATGCAACCTTTGACAACTTGTAAGGACCTTTGCCACCTGCTTATCTAGCTGTGACCTTTGACACAATCAGAAGTAATTGACCAATTAAATCTTATTACCAGTGTTTAAATGTTACACAATATTAAGTAAGTTGATTTATAGTAAATTTATATTTCTACACTATTTATTAACAGACACAACAATAACTATGTAGAATACAGGTCATGGAAAAATGATAATTGAATTATTTTAGGACATAATCACAAATGCCTAAATAATGCTCAACCAATTTTTTTAAAGCTTATCACTGTTTAGTACATTCATTTAATGTTAAAAAATATATAGCCTATATGATTATAGTAGTAGAGATAAAGATGATTAGTACATCTAGGAATTATAGTTTTTGTCCCATCCCCAAAACTAGACTTTTCTTCTTCAGGTGGCACCTTTAAATCTAAAATCTTAATTTAAGTCAAAGTAAATCCACTGGTCATCTTTTTTTCCCTCCAGAAATTATGTATTTTTTATCTGCTTAATCCACATTAAAATATACCGGTACTCATATTGATTAATAAATTAAGAAGCCAAAACCAAAATATTAATGATAGATAACCCCCAGATTTGGATTAAATTGGATTAAAAAGAAGCTGATCGAAAGACTTTACCCAACTCTTTATCATTGGCACTTACAGTAGTTGGCAAGAGAGTAGAATCTTGTTAATGACGATCAGTAGCTTTATGAGGTAAAGAGGTATACATATCATTTTTTTGCATAAATTTACTGGGAAGATGCACAGAGCTACAGGGCGTTCATATTTGAAAAAGGCAAAACCTGATGCAAGCCCAAATATTAAAATGATTGGTAAACATCATAATTCAATTTTTTCTTCTGATAAAAAAATGATAGGAATACAAGATATAAATTGCAAGGATTTTTTGTCGTTGAAAACAAACTATGATCAAATGATAACACTTGCTCTTTTATCCTTAGGCGTATTTTAATCTGAATTCATCAAAGTTTGTATAAAGCCAGACATCCATTGTTACTACGGTTATTATCTCAACCAATCAGATTCAAGTAGTTTATACAAGTCACTTAGAAGCTATCGTCAAGCAACTAATTGAGGCTTCCTTCGTTATTATTCCTTCAAAATGGATGTAAAACAAGCATCCATGACATCTAAATCATCTTGAAAATGGCTGTGCCACCTGAACACAATTTCTGTAAGCTAGGTTGAACTTAAAATATGGCCTCAAGATTTTGTAGAAATTCTAAAATGACAGTCTTTTGTAGTTGTCATGGACGAGAATTAAGATAAAACATCCTCCTCAAGAAAAGAACCCATTTTTAAAAAAAAGTGTTCTGTTGTTTTTTTAAAACAAACAGAGAGTTAGCTATTTTGACGAGTGTCAATAATGTAACATTTTTTGCTGTGGATGTCATACTCACATGTTTTTTGATCTAATATCAACTAAAAGACATCTTTACCACCCAGATGTATAAAATAGTCCTGTGTTCAACCTTAATACGATTAAAAACTGAACAGTTAACAATTAATTTTGGTACCTTGAACAAATTGTAGATTCAAATTAATTTTAATTTTGTTTGTTATTTCATTAACTTCTTTAATGGTATTTTTAATCCTGTTTTTCATTTGTAAAGGGAAGCTGTACTGATTTTTTAGGATCATAGTTTGATATTGTGGACATTTCTTGACCTACATATAGACCTAGGCTAGTCGACATGTTATATAATATATTCACAACTCTATAAAACATCCAATATCAAAAGTTCGGCAATTTTTTGAGAGTGTATGCAAGTAGTTGGCCTTATCTAGGCCGCAAAATAGTGAGGCACTTGCCTGCTTAATCATATAATAACTCTTGGTAGTTGCACTTGAAAATTAGCCAGAAACATGACTATCCAAGGGAAATTTTCCCTTCATTCTGTAGATGCCACCATAGAAATTAAAATTACTGTATGCTTGGACTTTTAGATGTGTAAAAAGGAATCTGTTCAACGTGCTATTTTCGGTTGCATTTCAACTTGAAATTTTCAAGACATGGATTTCAGCATCTGCACTTAAAAAAAAAGAGAAAAAAAAGAGGCTTATCGCTATTAAAGTTCTATTAGGTGGAGTAAAATGGGATATGTGATTCATAAAAGAATTCAAGCCTTAGATTTGTATAAAATGTAGTCAGTATGGATGTTTCTGCTATTAGCCGATAAGTTAAGTGTTTAAGATAGTTTCTTGGAAGAACGCGTTAAGACTGTTCGAGA